TTTTTTTTTTTTTTTTTTGATAGACGTGCCCACCACCTATGAGTAAAGTATAAAGATTAACGATAGTGGCAGAGAAAATTTGTTTACACTTAGGTGTTTTTGTTTGTTTTGGTACACGTACAGTACCGTATATTATCTGCATACCTAATATCAAGGATAAACTTAATAAAATATCATAGACTTACTTAATACAGTACCACAGACTTACAGTGAACTTATTACAATACCACAGACTTACAGTGTCTTAATACAACACCACAGACTTACAGTGTACTTAATACAATACCACAGACTAATTTAATACAATACCACAGACTTACAGTGTACTTATTACAATACCACAGACTTACAGTTTACTTATTACAATACCACAGACTTACAGTGTACTTAATACAATACCACAGACTTACAGTGTACTTAATACAAAACCACAGACTTACAGTGTACTTATTACAGTACCACAGACTTACAGTTTACTTATTACAATACCACAGACTTACAGTGTACTTAATACAATAACACAGACTAATTTAATACAATACCACAGACTTACAGTGTACTTAATACTGTAAAAAAACACAGACTTACAGTGTACTTAATACAATACCACAGACTTACAGTGTACTTATTACAATACCACATACTTACAGTGTACTTAATACTGTAAAATACACCAGACTTACAGTGTACTTAATACTGTAAAATACAACAGACTTACAGTCTACTTAATACAATACCATAGACTTACAGTGTACTTAATACAATAACACAGACTAATTTAATACAATACCACAGACTAATTTAATACAGTACCACAGACTTACAGTTTACTTAATACAATACCACAGACTTCCAGTGTACTTAATACAATACCCCAGACTTGCAGTTTACTTATTACAATACCACATACTTACAGTGTACTTATTACAATGCGACAGACTTACAGTGTACTCAATACTATAAAATACCACAGACTTACAGTCTACTTAATACAATACCATAGACTTACAGTGTACTTAATACAATAACACAGAATAATTTAATACAATACCACAGACTTCCAGTGTACTTAATACAATCCCACAGACTTACAGTCTACTTAATACAATAGAACAGACTTACAGTGTACTCAATACTGAAAAATACCACAGACTTACAGGGTACTTATTACAATACCACATACTTACAGTGTACTTAATACTGTAAAAAAACACAGACTTACAGTGTACTTTTTACAATACCACAGACTTACAGGGTACTTATTACAATACCACAGCCTTACAGTGTCTTACAAACTGACTTAACACAATACTGCAAGATAACTTAATACAATACCACAAACTTACAGTGTACTTATTACAATGCGACAGACTTACAGTGTACTCAATACTGTAAAATACCACAGACTTACAGTCTACTTAATACAATACCACAGACTTACAGTGTACTTATTACAATACCACAGACTTACAGTGTCTTACAAACTGACTTAACACAATACTGCAAGATAACTTAATACAATACCACAATCTTACATAATATATTACTGCAAGATAACTTAATACAATACCACAGACTAACTTAATGCAATACCACACACTTACGTATTACAATATCACAGACTAACTTAATAAAATACCACAAACAGTCTTAATGCAATACCACATATTTATTACGAACGTTTATCGCAACAGTAACTAAGACTTACTGTATCTAGGAAAGAACGATTATTTCTATTGTACTATATAGTTTTGTTTTCTTTTGCAGCTCTGGAGTAAAATGACATGGAATAAAAGTAATGGTTTGGGGTCTGATGACTCTCGCCGCCATGACGCGTATTTGTATACGGAGCTCCACAAACAAAAACAAAGGTAAGGTTAAAATGGTAACCACATCATTAAGGTCAAAGTGGTAACCATACAATTAAGGTTAAAGTGGTAACCACACCATTAAGGTTAAAGTGGTAACCATACCATTAAGGTTAAAGTGGTAACCATACAATTAAAGTCAAAGTGGTAACTATACAATTCAGGTTAAAGTGGTACCCACAGCTTTAAGGTCAAAGTGGTAACCACATCTTTAAGGTCAAAGTGGTAACCACACAATTAAGGTCAAAGTGGTAACCATATAATTAAGGTTAAAGTGATAACCATATAATTAAGGTCAAAGTGGTAACTATACAATTCAGGTTAAAGTGGTAACCACAGCTTTAAGGTCAAAGTGGTAACCACACAATTAAGGTCAAAGTGGTAACCACACAATTAAGGTCAAAGTGGTAACCACACAATTAAGGTCAAAGTGGTTACCACACAATTAAGGTCAAAGTGGTTACCACACAATAAAGGTTAAAGTGGTTACCACAGCTTTAAGGTTAAAGTGGTAACCACATAATTAAGGTTAAAGTGGTAACCACACCATTAAGGTTAAAGTGGTAACCACACAATTAAGGTTAAAGTGGTAACCACAGCTTTTAGGTTAAAATGGTAATCACTCCTTCAAGGTTAAAGTGGTAACCACACCATTAAAATTAAAGTGGTTACCACACCATTAAGGTTAAAGTGGTAACCACACAATTAAGGGTAAAGTAGTAAGCACACCATTAAGGTTAAAGTGGTAACCACACAATTAGTTCTATACTTAGTTGTTCCAGCGTAATATTGAACTATATTTAAATAATGAATTATAGAACTATATGATAGAGGGTATGTTAATTTCTATAGTTTCCCTTATTATATAAACTAAAAAGTACCGATTAAGGTAAATTATACAGCTCTTCATTGGTAAACACGTAAGAGTTTCATCTGTTCAACACTTGATGTAAAAATTACCCATGGCAATTGACTTCAAAGCAAAGTAATCTTTCTGAAGAAGATATTTATTCTCGCTGCGTTTTAGTCAATGGAAGTTTGATATTGCACAATTTTGTACTCATATTCCTCTGAACCAATTATTATTCTGAAATTAATTCTAGTTAAGATATTTTAGCATCACTCAAATAATTGAGGTCAAATTTACATAACAACCGTTATAAAAAGAATGCTATGAATAAACAATTGGCTTCATTTCTTCATAATTACGAGGACGAATGCATGAAGATTTGTAAATCTATGCATAGAATAATGTATAACAAAAAAATAATTCTAACCAACAAAAATAGGGCAAACTATGAAAAAATGAAGCATTATATGAGAGAAAGGAGTATAAGATTAAACAAAATCAAAATATGTATTAAACAATATAAAATATGACATTCACTAGCAGGTGATAGTGAATATTGTCAATATTCATTGTCACCTGCTACATCGTAATGAATGTCATATCTATTTTGTTACACCAACAGTCTTTGTAGCTCAGAAACGGCAGCAAACCTCGATAATGACATCTTGTTTGTTGATAGTCTGCTGGTTACAATCGCTATCGCACCGGCGCTTGATAAAATTGGCTGTTGTCGTCAAGCGTTCTTGTGACCATCACGGTGGGTAAACGAAGCAGTGAACGCACATTTTTCGAGTGTGACAGAGATTTTTGATTAATTTTCTCCCAACCAATCAAAACAACAAAGGATATCGACATAAGCAAAGTTCTATCTGTTTGTAGGATGAAGGACATGGGAGCGAAGCTGGAGAAACAGTACGATTTACTCCGCCTGATCGTCCAGAAGATGGATATCGCCACTGAGGAGGACAATAAGGATGAGGGAGTAGCGTGTGCCACCAGTCTGGAGAAGATTCACGGGGCGAGCTTCGCCGCTCCATTCATCAAGAAAACCCTTCTCCGACAGAATGCTATCGTCTCCCACTGGAAAAAGACTTCAGATAAAGTTGCGGAAAAATCAAAGAATGAACATGATTGCTAGTCTTAAGAATTTTTGACGTTTTAATCCGGACATCGTTAGTCTTGAATCAGTAAATCCAGAAAACGTATATACGAATTCCATGTTTTTGAATTTACGCACACTGTTATTTCTACAAAACTGGACAATTTAATTCTTTTGATATTTTTACTTAACAATCGGACTAACGATGTTCCATTGTGTACAAATATGTTTCCTATGTTTATTATCATAGTATATCCGTCTATTCGTGGACCAGGTACGTACTGTAGATTGTCAATCAGACCTGTTCCTCCTGTACAACGTGAGTAGTTTGATAATTTTGACTACGGACGTATGATAAGAAATGTTCAATGACACGGAGACACGGTAGTCTAGTGGTAGAACGCCGGGCTCGTGACCAAAGGGTTGCGGGTTCGAGTCCTTGAGCAAGATACTTTACTCCGCTTGTTCCAGTCTACTCAGCTGTAAATGAGTACGTGGTTGGGCAGTGCTGGAATTGTTGAATGCTAGCTGTGAGCGCCGAAATGGCTGCACTGGCTGTATGCTCCCCAGGGAGTTGAGAAAGGTATTGGCTGGTTGCAAAGGCCCTATAACCACGGATAATAACTTCTGAACCGCTTTGAGACGACCTACGAACTAGGTGGTGATAAAGCGGTATATAAGAACCTCGAATTATTATTATTATTATTATTATTTATTATTATTATTATTATTATTATTATTTATATGCCAGCATATTATGTGCAGTTTAAGATGATCATATAACGTTTGAAGACTGTCTTCTATTTAATGAGAATTTAATTGCGACCATTGAAATATACATTTCTTAAGGCAGAGCGTTTCAACATTTTTGGAAATGAAGGAAAAGACAGAGATATATTGTCCAAAGAAATGAATGTTGTATTGTTATGTAGATGAACACAATGTTGATAATTATTGTTGATGACGTATATAGTATTGTTATTGCGTGGCTATTGTTAGCGTTTTTGTGGTGTGGATCCCAAATACCTTTGGTATACTTATCCAATCATTAACTTACAAAACTTTGTTAGTCCGGACAGTTTACCTCCCCGAAAGAATATCCTAAATGATGTTTTTTACAGTTAAATATTAAAAACAAAATTTGATACAAAAATCAATGTTAAAAAGGTTTTTTTGGAGTGTCGGTGTACCGAGATTTTATTGTAAATTTGCATGGAAAAAATATGAATACAACTGTACAGTGTTTAGCGAGTCCTGTAAAATCACAAAAGTGAAAAATGAAGGTAGAATACTTTCACAATGGCATGATATCTCAAAGTTAAAATAAATGTAGACAATGTAGTTTCAAAAACACACATGTTTATTGTAAAATAAGATTATCATCTAACTGTCTTTTTAATAAAACGGTACTACAAAGACAGATATCTGCGTTTATAGGTATGCAATAATTCCCATATTTAATGACGTCACTGCCCGTCCACTATATATATATATATCTTATCCATAGCAACTCAACATAGAAATTTCAGCAGATTTTCAATTTTATTATGTGAAATTGTTATTCAATTTTTATGCTTTACATGAACTGATGATATTTAGTGACTCGTGTTAATGTGTTCTATATTGTGATATAAATGTAGATAATCTTAACTGTTAGAACATGAGAAAGGTTTGTCTGTTGCAAGTTATCCGAGTATATTTACTTTAATACTTGGCGGCGGGGAATGCTTTTTGGTCCTGTATGAGAACAATTCTGGTATAACAAGTTATCCATGTTATCCATGACATTATGAAACAAAATAACCTAATCTCAAAAGATGAACTTTATTTTTACAAAGTGCAACTTTTTTAATTAAAGCTACACTTCTGCTTAACTTGTTTCAAACTAGAATGATTCATTTTTTTTTAATATTTTGTAATTTTGATAATATTGTAAAAAGGAAAGCTTAGGACAAAGGGAGGTTATTCGTCTCATTCTAAAACTTCACAACTTCCACTGTTACTTATTTTTGTATCAAGCAAGGATATAGGACAACGGCTAAGATTACTGTCAAGGGTGAAAGAAATCCGTATCATATCCACTACAGAAACATGGTAAAGCAATACCAAAATTTAGCAGGTCAAACACAAGCCAATTCAACCGTTACTACACCATATGAACATTTTGTCCATTGACATATAGTACTAAATTAATAAGTGGTAGTTCAAGTAAAAAGAATAAAAAATCACTAAGTAAACCTAAATGGAAATGTGTCTATATAACGCTTTACAATGTTACAAATTGACAACTTTTATTTATTTTACAACAATTATGAAACAATTTATTTCAACTTCTATTAATCACTCTTGTTGGCCCGGATGTGAGCGCGTTGGGTGTCTTAGTGTGGGAGGAAACCGGAGTACAAGGAGAAAACCCACGTGGTCGGACAGGTGACCCCAACCTTTTCACGTCCGATGGGGGAATCGAATCCCGTCCGGCTTGGTGAAAGGCAATTAAAGTGCGCTATTCACTGCACCACCCGACCACCCATATACTATAATGTTACAAGTTGACAGCAGATAATGTTTTCCTACAATAGCACTCCATGTTTACCGTACAAGAATAGATTCTGGATATTTACACCGGATTGACTTAAAAGTTATCTAGTCATCTATAAGTACCATATATGATTTCATGGTAATATTTCAAACAAGGTGTACCCTTTTCAATGGAGTTTTCATGTCTGTTTGTGAAGAGAGATTTTCATTTAAAAACAAGTTGAGTGGATTTATATATATGCGGTGGTTACATATCGATCGAGAGAGGATATCATCAAATTGATGTAGAAAAAGCAATCACCGTTTAGGCCTTTAACCTTGTTTGAAACATGTAATTCTGAAAATAAGTTCATACAAATCGTGGAGTGGAAATCTCGAAATAAATTATAAAAATTACACAGTCGTTGTTTTGATTTGTTGTTTAATATGTTATGAATTAATGTTTCTTCAGACAAAGTTCGTTGGGGTTAAGAGCAAACAGCATTATTATATCGCATTGAATAATAGACTTATGTTATTTAACTCAATACCATCAATAAAAATATACGTAATACAGTTTCTGTATAATTCGTCCTGACAAACTAGCGGGCGCAGATATTGTAATGATGGCAAAATATAGGGAGTACTGTCAATGTGTTGATAAAGTTTCTGTTGAAATCCATCCTCCCTGATAACTGATTATTGTTAAACCGTAATCCTTAGTTATGTAATTTGTTTTCTTCGTTGTTGTTAAAAATCACACTCACAATATTCATCACTAAACGAACTTTTTTTAGATATCATTCTGAAAGTTATAAACGTTTCCAAGCTATGGTCTCTTCAGTAACATGTTCCTATTAGTTTATATTGTTTCTTTTTTAACACTCCGTGTTCCTATCTGAAGAACAATCACTACTGCCAGTTTGCATATGTTGTTGGCCGGGAGGTGATTCCACGCTGGAGTGTATGGTAAAAATAGTATTTTGGGAGTTTTGGAACTTTAAGTTTCTCGAAACTGAGTTAATCGTTAACTGATTTTCCTTTTGAAGTAGCATATGGGTATGCGATGATATATTTAGATCCACAAAAACTTCCTATTTTCACTTCAATATTTAAATTTTATTAATAAGATTGAAACTTTAGTGTGAATGAATGGAGAGTTAAACAGTATTAATCTCAGCAAGACACATTTGGACAAGAACGCGTCTTTTGAATTTCGGCGCATCGATAGTATTCCTGAACCGTTTCCTTTTGAAGGAAACAAAATCTGCTTGAGTGAGATCCGTGTTTATTTTACTGATATTTTGAAGGTAACTCATTCACGCGACCTTGAACACAGAGAAGACGAAGTTATACGGACACAGCGCATGCAGTCTTCCTAGACATTCCATAATTCTTTGTGACCTTCATGTTGAATGCTGAACGATTTGTCCGAGTCAGGTTTTGTCTGGTCTTATTACAGCGTGTGGATTAAAATGTCCAATAAATGAGCCGCCCACTCGTAACGGTTCTACGAGATCTTGTCTGTTCGGCCCTATTTTTATGACAGAAAATTCAAATAGTGCAGAAAATCATATAATAACGCTAGATGGTTCAATAAGAGAGCTCGGGGCCTGCATTGCTTCGATTCAAATTTCTTTTGATGATAAACTAGTCTTGCTTCACAAAAATGCTGCCTTTGACAGCTTCGATGATATGATTTCAGAATACCAATGGGAAGATAAATTTGCCAATTTTGCTACTGTTGATGAAGGTAGTATGTTTTATTAAAAGTTTTCGGAATTCGCATTAAAGTCTAACTAACTTATCTTCGCGAAGTGCCTGTATAACCGAAGGGCATACATGTACATGTATACGTTGGATGCCCAACGATTATAGTATAATAGCAATTGCAATTGTTAGGGGTTTCTTTATTCATATACTAAGCTAGTTTACAAACTGCATGATAGGTAAACGCAAATATTGATGCCAATTTCACTATTTCGTGTGGTTCTTATTTTAGGGTCCTCTTATTTAAGGCTTATAATGTAGACTAAGCTGACGTGTTGTATTCCGCTTCCAGACTTTTTACTGGCAGAAATTGATATAAGGCATATCCGCTTTCATGGGATAGAGACTGCTAAAAACCTATATCTCGATGATTTCTTCAGTAAATAGTCAAATAAATACACACATACATGTGTCACCAATTTCAGCATACTGTACTTAGCACGTGTAAAATAGATCGTTTCCCTCTTTAAAGATCCCGTTTGAACTCACACTTTTTGTGTTATAAAAAAGAAAATAGTTATTGTAATGCTACCCTCTACAATCTGCTTGTATTTCAACTTGTTTGAGCCAGTGTACCACCTACGCGGAGCTCGACGCTTTAAGTTAAGATGTTTCGTTTAAAATGTGGGAAATAACATCATCTGATTTAAAATTAAACAAACTCCAACCCTGATTGATTCAAATGAGATGTCAATACAATTATATGCGTTTCTTGTATTTTAACATTAAAATGATGGAAATGTCATGTCGTCGCTCTTAGGTTCTTCAAAATGTCCTGGGGGAGGGGCATTCCCTTGGACCTCTAAGTGTTCGGACTTCGTCACTTATGACAATACCTTTGCACTTTAGTCCTAACTCAATATCAACTTATGATGAATATTCCGTCATCCTTATTATCTTGTATCCATCTCTGTTCTTATGTTTTAATGTTCAAACTAATAGATAATTAAACAAATATTTATGTATATAAACTAGAAGTGAAAGTAGATATTAGTAATGAATTACTTACATCTATTGAGATATTGAATACGTGACCTATGATATTTGGAACATGACTGTTTGTAGTAAACAACATTACAGAACGTCTGTCGTAAGTTGATGTAGGATATCACGAATACATGAGGTAACGTGATCGAACACACCCGTGAGACATGACAAGCCGGGACGTGACGTAACACAATCATCACACACAGTTTACCACAGAGACCAGGTGTTGAAAGCCTTGTAAGCTTTACGTTAACTTTTCGTTAATGTTACATCCAACACAGTTTATGTTACACAAACACTACACACAGTTTACCATAGAGACCAGGTGTTTAAAGACTAGTACGTAAGCTTAACGTTTACTTAACGTTAATTTTTACCATTGAAACAAGGGTTTACATAAATATTTGTTAACTTTAAGCTTTCAAACATTCTGAAATTTATTCATAAAACTGTGAGTTCTAATTCGTGATGAGAATAAAGAGCTAAGAGCCAGAATTTTTTATTTTATTTTAAGGGTTATTTTAAAAATGAATTATTTTGAAGTTCAACATTCGAAGTTAAGTGGGTTTTTTTTTCTGGTGAGAAGGAGTGTGCACTTCTTTTGTAAATCTGATGGTGTTAAGAACAGAAACACTACAAAGGAAATATTTAACCGAATGTTTCAGTCTGTTAAAATAGCGATTGTATATGAAATATTTACAACAATATGCTGATTTCTATTTTCAGCACTTAGATAAATTCTCCCTGAAAAAAGCTAACGATTAAGAAACATTACAGAATAATATTACTGTCTACTGAAAACAAAATAACAGAATTTACTCCCTGTTCCAAACAGTCCTTAAATCTACGCACACGTCCCCTAATATATTAAAACTAATAGTCGTTAAAACCATCGGTAAATTAAAAGAAAAAAATAGCTAGCTTGTGACTAACTCACACATATGACCGAAACCACAACAGCTAGTACAATGTGCCGGTGATCACCAGCTCTGAAGGATCCCCCCATACATTAAGAAGATGGAGATGTTACTAGATTAAGTTGTGATTAAGATGAAGCTGTTATAGCGCCCGAGTCAATAAACTGTGTATAACCATTATCTAGTTACTCACTGTTACCACAGGCAATGATACAGAACCCTCTACTCATCCCTACTTATAGCGACTAGTAACGCTGAATCTCCTGTCCGATCGACCGTACTGTGTACCAAACTTCGTGCCCTTGGAGCGTGAAGTATTTCTCTTTCTAACACATCGACGCACAAAGAAACGAAATAACAAAATTATGATATCTGTCTGAGATCTGGAATTTTAATGTAACTGATGAATGTCTTTAGCAGATGTGTGATGGAGGCGATGGAGCGAACGCCATGACTGACGCAGTGTAAACAATAACAATCGTACTACACATTACAACGTTTAGCCAACATAAACACGTGACAGGTTTTGTATGTCCTTATTTATACGATATTTGATGAATTAAGCTTCCGCCTAGCATAAAACAACATTAGTCCGATGCGTGAGAAAGTCATACATGCATGCTTTTTTATTAGTCTTGAAAGAAAGTCGTGCATGAATGTTCCTGTATAATTACTCTAAATCGTGTTTAGCAGTTGATGGGTTTTATCATCTGCAGTTTTTTGATTGCGTAACTCCAAATTTGTCACTGCTATAAAACGTGTTCAGACTAACCAGGTTCTGTGTGAACCGAAGTAGCCAGACTAACCAGGTTCTGTATGAACCGAAGTGTCCAGACTAACCAGGTTCTGTGTGAACCGAAGTGGCCAGACTAACCAGGTTCTGTGTGAACCGAAGTGTCCAGACTCCAGACTATCCAGGTTCTGTGTGAACCGAAGTTTCCAGACTAACCGCGTTCTTCTGTATGAACCGAAGTATCCAGACTAACCATGTTCTTCTGTATAAACCAAAGTATCAAGACTGACCAGGTTCTTTGTAAACCGAAGTACCCAGACTAACCAGGTTCTTTATAAACCGAAGTATCCAGACTAACAAGGTTCTTCAGTATAAACCGAAGTATCCAGACTAACAAGGTTCTTCTGTATAAACCGAAATAGTTAGACTGAACAGATTATATTGCACAAACAGACGGAAGTTTTCAAATTAACTAAATGAGTAAATACAGTAAATATATCCAGACTAACGAGATTTGAGTCACAGTCAAGACAATCCAGGTTCCATTGTCCCTTACAAACGTGGTTAATAGCCCAGACTGACAATAATTACATCACGAGATTTTTGTAAGATCTTGATGATTTTATATTATGAATCGTGACCCTGTAACTGGTATTAGCTTTTAAGAAATAGTTTAAATTTAACTCTGAGTGTTTTAAGACTGTACATGGTCATCTGTTGTACATATAACAGTCGGTGTTTACCAGTGTATATGACGTCTACGCCTGCTGACAGGTTAGCACTACAGCCGACGTCAGCTGGAGACGTACACAGTCCTGTCAGTTACAAAACACTCATCGTATTGTTTTGAATTTCATTTGTTGTTTTGTCACATGTGATTTGTTTTTTAAAACCTTTGGACTACAACAACAGTTGCGTACGTGTATAGTTCGGGGATATTTTGTAAAAAATAAAAATATGCGGCAGTAACGATATTTTGTTTTAATAACTTCTTTCAATACAAACATATAAAATTCATCAAACACGATTGCAAAATAGACATCGATCAAGAAACAGGTAAACAAAATTTTGAAAGGAATGTTAAAAGTATGCATTCATCAGTTTTGACAGCGAATGAGATTGGATATCTAGCTGATAGGCCTAAATGGTCAGTGAATACACTATCTGTCCGTGTTTACAACGTCAGATATGATGTATCGAGGGCACCTGTCACGCGTGACGGATGTAGATTGTGTCACCTCGTCTGATTGATCACACCGTGCATGGGGCCAAAACATATCGAATGTGCCGGGAACACCACCCCAACCTGTCCAGAATTCAAAGCTATACCCGACCAACCACAGAGTTTCATCAACGGTTCAGAGTCCATAATGATCAGTTAATGTCTGTTTGTCAACACTTTGTACAGATAAACATGATAGTGCGAATCACACGACCTTTCGTCAGCATCCAGTTATTTAGCACTTTGGAACGAAATGTACAAAACCTACAAACATTCTCACATATCTAAACTCATATAAACACATCTAAACACACTCTTCACAAAATTCAGCTCACGTTCGTAACGGGAATCAACCAACTTCTTTCAAACACGATCACGACCCGGACGTTCGGATAAAATATTCATAGACACGCACTACCTCACACAACTTCCGGTTTATCAAATGAACTCGTTACTTTTCCACTTGATGTGCGTGACTGGCGACTTTTTGGACGGTGCGAGGAGGGACGACGTCCTCGATCGGAACTCCGTCGTCTCGTCAATGTCCTCAATAGGTGATAGGTGATGAGGGGAGCCCATTGGGGAGCCGGGCCGCAGAACGTCTTCAAGCGACATGTTACTTCCGCTCATGCTGCTAATGTCAGAACTAGAACTATGTACCTCAAACATACACCGTAACTGTACAATGGTGGACCGGAGGTCTATAAACTGCTTCATCAGAGATTTGTCTTGTTCCTTCATTTCCATCTGTAAAACATAAACATAAGATGTCTGAGTATAAGAAACTATCTTTTGTTTTCAGCTACACCTGTGCACATGAACAAAGCATTCTTGGTCCCAGGTTTCACGTATTTGCAATATATTGAAGGCAAGCTGACGACATTAGATTTTAGATACGATATAAATAAATACACAATAAGAAAAGCTCTTGTCACGTACATTTGTAATCTAATTCCGTGATATAATATATATATTTTATCATATATATTTATATTATACATTAAATAGATTTTCTCTATCTTTTATCGAAAGCTTACGATAATAAACATGAAATAAAGGCGTTGAACACTTTTGTATCGAATCAGTGCTGTTACCATAACTCTCTGTAGATGAAACATTAAGCGGCGATTTTTTTAAATTTTAATAACGACGTTATAATAATCAAATAGGGCGTAAATGATAATAATCTTCTCTGTGATGGGGATGGTGACGATTAAAGTATAATTATCTAAGCGGGCGTGAACAATAATAAGTATATCAATGAAGACGATTATGACGGTTTGTCTAATATGTTGTGATTATCCTAAAGGGCGTAAATAATAAAAACTATATATGTGATTAGTACAGCGACTAAATGCACAATGATAATTACAGTTTTAGCACTAATGTGTAAGCAATAATAAGATACATGGAGTTAATTCAACGTGTCGGGTGGGTATAGCATTATAAACAATTTTACAGTTGACTAATTAACACATTTTCCATCTAGTCATTTAGAAAATGATGTATTTATTTTTCAAATTGAACACACGCCCATTGTTAGAACGCTTAATGACCGTTTACATGTAGTTAGTACCGAGGAAAGTCATCGATGGTCCCGTTTTTTGTAAAACATTTCGTCATGATGACTCTGTTGTTCTTAAATGGTTGACAGAAGAAAGAAGAAAGAAGATAAGGTGACGTCATATGATACCCAGTGTTAAAACGTGGTGTCAAACGAATCCATTATTAGGTAGGCATTGTGAGAGTGCGTTTTATCTTGCCAGGTATGTTGTAATTTCCGTGTTCATGTTGTAAACACACCATCATACAAAGGTTAGGGCAGTCAGTGACTGTGACGTCGACACCTCAGCCCCCACGTGCATGCTAACTCATCTAAACAAACTCTTAATCAAAATTCTTCAACAACGGGAAACACTTCAAGTAACACGATACACGAGAGGATAGGACGTCCATGCTTGAGTGCCGTTTTGCTAACTCTTTGTGATTTCATCATGGCGTTTTAACACATTTACTTTAGATGCTCATTTGTAAGATTTTCCTCGCGGGCTTCGAGAAAGATCAACAAATACATTATCAAGGCCGGTATCTTTTCCCAAACACAACACGTTTCCTTAATGTTGGCATGGACAAGATAGGACGCTTTATTTACAAATCCCACAATCAGTGGAGATCTTTGTAAATTTTAACGGTCTTTCTCGACAGTAAAGCACAGCGTCCCATGTAAATTGCTTCTAACGTTGACCAAAAATATGTGTTCATAGCCAAACGATCACAATTGTTTGACAAAGGATATCGCTCTCTTATATCTTAACACTCTCACACAGGGAAATGTGTCAAAACAAGTTTTAATATGGAAAAGAGCAGTGGAAACACAGAATCGTTAAAAGAGGTTGAAGTCTACATAATATAATTTTACTTATTTTTAACCGCACGTTTTTTCGTAATGAGTTGGTAACAATTAATGGACGCCAAGATGGACGTTGGTCAGTTAACACATATTTCACATAAAGTCAGTTTTTGATTATATATGAATAGCTATCTAATTGTTAGACATAGCAACATTACCTATTTATATCCGCTGATACACCCCGTGTATTGATCTAGAGTAACGAGTCACCGTTTAATTACGAATTACACTTCTAACTACACTGACAAATTGTCATCAAATCTCCAATACACACCGATGTTGTTTTGGTGATAAGCACCACGGCCATTGTCTCTGACCCGACCAGGAATTCGCACGTTCATACCTTTTGGCACCGATGTTGATATTAAATTATCTTATTCCAACTTCGTGTAATCTACGTCACATGGTCATAGGCCCAATGTGCGGTGTACTTTAGCGACAAATCTAGGTGATTAAAAAAAAAATCTTAGCTCATTAATAATTTTTCTAGAATTCATAATGAAAACTTTCAAAACGAATACAACAGAGAGAACTTATTTAACGGTTCGAAATATGAAGGTTCATAAATGCAAAGCATTTTTTTCAAAAGCAGAAGGCCTGTTTTACATGTATTCATATTCTGTATTCTGATAGTTATTTTGTATACTACATTTCTTAAACGTCCGTTTTTTATTTGTGCAGAGAATTTATCAAAATTAATATTTATAATTTGCTTACGGTGTCTTTAACTTCTGCGAATTTCTATTTTCTTTTTTTTCTTTTTGAGTGTTTTGTATCAGTCAGTGGGTGTAATAGATTCACTTAGAAGTGTGTACATGTACTAGCACTCATTTTCTCTTAAGTGACGCACATCTAGGTTAGTACAATTATTTTTATTGCTTAACTATGTAAACTTCACAACTTTACAATCACGATTGATAAACAACTTAAAACAATTGTGTCTTGTCAAAACTGTGAAGTGAGAAGCATTGTCACGTTCTTATTATTATGTCTTAACCACGGAAAATGTGTTCAGGATATTTTACCGGCGGATGTTTGCTTTCACACCCAGATTTACATTTCTCATACCTTGTCTAAAAGTAAATGTCCAATGTCGGTATACATAAAAGACAGGTATATCATACACATTCTACAGAGGTTACTGCGTAGACAAACGTCGGTAAAATTGTAAAAGACGGATCAGTGACCATTACGAGACGGTTGTTTATTTTAATTCCAAACCCGAAAAATAAGCAAGAAACTGTCGGCATCTATATATAAGAGGTGGATATTGGAGACTTGGAATGCGACACAATCGGACGAATGAGCTGTATAGATTCATGCTACGGTGCATCACGACATTATATCTACCTAGTGGTGAGCCCTACTGACATATATATCTATCATTTATACTTATAAACATACAAAAACATAAGTATTATTGTTAAGTGTAGGTGTGCTTGTCACAGGCGGGTTTATGGATATGTTACATTCTCGTACAAACATACCCCATAAATAAGTCATCATTTCAAGTAGAGCATTCAATTCTATACTCTGTGTGTCCAATGCAACATACATACTAACATATGTACGTAAAACAAGTTCCCTGGCCTTGACGATAAACTGAGTCGTAAACATTGGCTAACTGCCGAACTGAAGGGCTGCAGTTTTCGTTCCAACATTAACCTCGGTCGTAAAAACGTGTGCTGGCATATGTTTTGATGCTTTATCTGTTTGTGGCGTGGCCATTATAAAAAATATCCGTCTGTTTTAGACAGAAGTGGACGTCTTTACAAAATTATCTACTCAGAATGTTGAATGTCCCTTGATTGCAATCCGTGCATTGAATGTATTTATATTGACTGCTCTATGACAATTAGAAAAGAATATGGCTTCATAGGACGAGAATGGTCTCTCCGACTCGGCCTCAGGGGACTGACTCACCCTCTCATACACAATTATCCCCACAGCTCCCTGGTTATCTGCGACATGAGATTGGGTATGCGGGTTCGATTGCATGTACATGTACTACTGGTACAAATGGGCTTGGGATTAAAAGCACGTAAGAATTGATTCATTGATTATTTCGATGGAAGGAAGTAATGTCAACGGCGTGTTTACACTTCTACAGATTATATGAGGCTTGGACCTAAATTCAACCAATAATCTGACATAACGCATGCACCTATATATGAACTGTAACGGTCACTGATGAAATATAACTCGTACCCTTAAAATGACAAATGTTCGGGATCTTAGTAAAATGTATAAGAATCTTAATAAAATGTATAAGATATATTAATATATATCATTTTATAAAATTACCAGCTATGAACTTGTATATTTAATGTACAAGTAATGGAAGGCTTGATACATTACTTGTACAGTTGACAAATGGTGCTTTGATATATAAAGTTATGCCTGAACTATATATATAATGTTCTTTCTCAACGTGCTGTTACATTTAACAATATCTAAATATAATGTAATGTACTTTTCTCGAAATAGATAATTGAAATTGTTGGGGTACTACACTTACTATTTCTTGCTTGATCCATTTGAGGGCCGTGTTGAGATCTTTTTCTCTGTGTTCCGTGCTGTCTTTAGTCTGTGTCGGGGAGGGTTTGTACTCTCGATTGGCCTTGGCGTGGTACAGACGCTGCATGTACCGTTTTGGCAACCGGACAGCATCTTTGGTGCACGTCAGAGGCGTGGCATTGGACCCTAGGGTCGCCGCCTGGAGACACGGGGGGACCTGTATCGTATCGTTGTCTTCTCCATCAGCACTAATACTTATCTCAACGTCACATTTAATTTCAGATCTCATGGCGACTGTCCTGTTCAAACTACAGGCGTAGTACTAAGGCGTATATAAATGTCGTAACCAGGTGTAAGCACGTATCCGTACGGTTGTGAATGAACAGACCAAGCCCAACGGAAAAGTTTGAATGGAAAAATATATATCACCAGATATATACAAAAAGTCTTATCTACCTGACTGGCGCTTACGCAAGAACGGGTAAGGCGGGCAAGGATCGGTTAGTAATGCAAGTGTAAATATTAACACAGTAAATTTAATCCAATTTCTCCGTAAACTGTGTAATCAAAGTCAGCCTTAAAGAGTTCCAATAGTCAGACTGTGTTACATCGGCGTCTGGTGGCAGTCCTAAGCCTAGACCGTCCTCAAACACGTGTAGTATAGTAATGATCCGAACACACACAGCACGCCTATTTAACTAGTACGGACAATACGAGGCGGGATCTAGTTGTCATTGAACTGAAACGCGTATAGCTTCTTCCTTTTAAAAAAAGAGGCGTGCTCGATTTACGAGATTTCGATCGTGAACTTTACTCCAATCGTGTAAATGAGAACGGGTTAAGGTCAAATATGTATAAAAACATGTGTCCCATTTGTATATATACTATGTGGTAGTAACCACCGGGGCGTGACGTCACAAATCGTGGCTTCATTCTGACGAATACCGGTAGTATACCTGTCACAGAAGGCCCGAGGGTCGTTAAGTTCGGTAACAGACATCAAAACTACCTCAAGTGTATGATCTGTATCGTTTTCACAGGTAATACATGTATTGGTGATGCATTGCTACAGGTAAGGTGTCCCCTCCTACACGGCATATTAACATTTCCGTTTTCAAATTGCTTATATTTTTTTTTACTGACGATGGCATTGATTAATCTTTTGCTCATGTCTTCAATATTGACAGAAATATCAGGTACGTTTTGTTTATCATAGATGAACGATAACACACACACACAAGGTGATTGCACCGTTTGCCAAAAAACAAATACACAGGATCATTATACAGCTGTATCACTTTCTCTGTATCCCCAGGTCGAATAGATTGGATTTGATTAAACCTTTACCTTAGTCAAAGTATAGACAGGATTTCTTCAAGAAATATGTTTTATCTGTAAATAAACGCTTTCAAACATTTCAATAATAAAATCTTACTTTTCTTATTAAATTGACAAAATAGGTCGTAACTTGTATTTTTTTTATCAAAACATTAGAAAAGTCAAGGCTACAGGACATCAAATAGTCATTTACCTGTTTACATATATGTTTACTATTGTGACAAACAAAAATAACTTTACACTTCATGAATAACTACATTTATTTAATTAAAAGTTTCGCATGGGTAAGCAGAACTGTTTAATGCGAAATTCTACTAATTCAAACAAGAATTAATGTGAAATTTATTTCAATGAATGAACGTGAGAATAAAAGAAAAAATTAAATACGTGAGTAACACCTTTTACGGACGGGGAAACTTAAATATACAAACCCATCCCTGTTTTATAGAAATGCAATGTTATTCGTTCAACTCCGATTAAATTAACGACGTGAGTCTGGTTACTGTAGAAGTAAAGAATTCCTGTCTAGAACCCGGCCAGGAACACAAACAAGATGTTTACACAAGTAACGGTGTACCTTACCACTCACATTGTTCACATTTCCTACCGACACTACGATTATTAGTGTACCACTGGGAAATATAAATACCTGTACACACACCTGGGCTATTGACGAAGTTTTAGAAAGATTTTCAAAACGCTTCATCATTTTAAGATGTTGCCTTTAAGATCAAATACCACATATAAATTAGTATCGTCTTTGTTGCTGGCACGAATGAACACTTTTAAATCGTTCTATTCTGTAACAATTGTCCGTACGGCTCTATAGCCCTCCCCCTGGTATAATGATAGCGGCCTGGATTTTGATTAATTATGACTACTTGATACTTAAAACTGCATGCATTGTCTATAGCGATAATGTCTATCGGCCGAGTAGCAACCTGCATATATCATGGTTGTTGTTTGTTTAATACGGTATGAAGTATATAGAGGACTTAAAACTGGATGTATTGTCTATAGCGATATTGTCTATCATGGTTGTTGTTTGTTAAATACGAGATGGAGTATGTAGAGGACTTAAAACTGGTGTATTGTCTATAGCGATATTGTCCATCATGGTTGTTGTTTGTTAAATACGAGATGGAGTATGTAGAGGACTTAAAACTGGATGTATTGTCTATAGCGATATTGTCGCCTGGCATTGTTGACCAATCATGTCACTGCCAATACTCAATATACTTGTATGTCGAGACTCATAAAATATTAAGGATTCGCGTAACACTGCCAAAAAATTGTAACTAAGTGCTGAAAACTATTTTTTGTGACATGACTACAGCTTTGATAAATCATTTCTGAAACGAAAACCATACCTTGCAGGACTTTTATGAGAAATATATTCTGAGCGTAAACCAATCAGTGGGACTAACACATGATTCGAACCATGGACCTCAGCATGCTATACTATCTCTCTAACTGATTGAGCTAGTTGGTAAACTGAAGTATTTTAACCTAACTGTGCTACATTTTTATTCAAACATGAATTATAGGGGGGTTATTGTATATAGGAAAAAACCACAGTGCAGTAGGACAGGGATCTTTAAGCCCCCAGATATGCTGAAATTTGATAAAATAATTCATTCATATCTGACAAAATATTTGTTTGGTCTCAGTATTATAACATGGCTTGTGTTATAAAACAGTACGTTGTTGTTAAATTGATTGAGAAGACACACACAATGCAGATGAAGGGGGCCTTGATATGTATATGTTTATTTACTGTTTAAAGATGTATACAAACACCGACCAAGGTCATACCCCGCTGTCTTACGTATTAAACATACCTGTCAATATAGCGTGCTATTGTTTTACCTGACAGGTGATACAGATACCTGTCAATACACCGAGATACCTAAGCCATACATACCTGTACAAGTACAATACGCGGGTAAATCAAAGCCACCGACACAGGTCTTGGGAATAAGCTGTCTTTTGTTGTCCCGATTTCACGCGGAATTCAGCACGAAGACAAACAAGTAATAATACGGACAAATAGATAGTCTGTTCTTAAGGTATTTAACTCTTCTTTAAGCTCAAAAGATTTTTTTAAGATAAAGCATGACCCCCTAAACTGTGGATGGCTTCATGAAGCTGATAATTTTGTTTACCTGTACGTACTGTACTCACTCTAGGCGTAATCCGGAACTTGCCCTTGATCACACCGGTTAAATAGGAAATACTGAAATCCAGATTATCTATTCAATAAATAAAAAATATACTTACAATACTTATATATCCTAACGTCTGATCACTTCCGGTTCACTATTGATCCGGTTAAGTACACATGTACCTGTACTTACATAGCTGTAATATTTTAATACCGGCGTCTTAGATACTTAAATATCAATTAATCAAACAGCATTTATTCATATAAATTGTGAAAATAAACAGCAATTTAAATAGTTCAATTAAAAGTATTGAAAAGTACAAAACCCATACATGTAGAACTAGCTATTTATTATGAGAACATTTATTATACATGTATAGTATATTTAATGATAATAACTGAAAAATAACTTTTAATTAGTTTCAGAAATATAGACATACTTCATTTAACAGATTCGATACGTTTTAGGCAATGGGAATTAGACATCATCAATATACAACTATTGAAGGAATATGCGGTTAACAGGACATTTGATAACCCCTCACTCAAATATAATGACCGCTTGCCGAGATTGGTTTGCTTATTAATTGTTTTCTTGCAAAAGTTTATAAATAAACAAAGCGTTTGTTCCTATATCAGTTTCAATGCATGTGTCTTTGCCATGGACTTGACTGTATTCCGAGAGGACAGGAGATTAAGGTACATGTTTTAAAGCTTAAATCATTCACCCCTGAACACACATTTGAACTCTTCCAATTCAAAGGTTGGAATAGTTCATTATGACATTTCAGGGGTGAATGAGTTAAACATATGCAAAGTATGGGAAAATTGATTAAGTGTATTTTCTCGAATTTCAGTACAAACCACAACTGGACATATTTAGGTGTATTACTGAGCATAAGCTTACTCATCATAGTGGTGGTTTTAGTAGTATGAAAAGAAGTATATATTTAATGATGACTAGAAGGGCGCAAATATCAAGGCTAACCCAACACACTTTAGAGAACTATAAGCTATAGACTTAATTGGGCTTACTACTGATATCTTTCAAGGACGTCAACAGTTCACAGGACAACACAACCTTGGCAGGTTTAACCATTAAACCTTGGCCTTGGCAGTAGTAAGTGTACGCACGTGTACATATTGTGATTAACCCTGACCTCTCGTTTTATCCAATGACCTTTAGGGTCTGAGTGGAACACGTCTCTATGAAGTTCCTAAAGGTGGATTATGTCAAAATTAATACCCGACGTACAAATGTACTGGCTTTTTTTCCGAACATTATCCATGATAACCTCTGCAAATTTACTTCCTCACAAAAGGCACCGCCATTATAACACTCTAGTACCAACCTCTAACATTGAAAGGAAATATGACCCTTTTCTTGCGTTTCAGACTGACCGCAATGGTTTTTTTTTTGTTCCAGTACAATTTCAACAGGCTGAAGCTCGGAGACAACACCCCTCCCCTCCCTAGTTTTCATTCAGTGTCACGAGCCATGAGTTGTAATGGGGAAAATGTCAACAAGATGTTTCTCAAGCCGCTTGGTACCCTGTTTTATGAGAATTTTGGATAAAACACGTAAAGTAGCCACAGGTCGGTTGTTCTCCCTTTGGTCATCATCTTTGCCTGGTTTCTTCAACATTGCACGAACGATGTATGTTTTGGAACAGACTGGGACACTGGACTCAACTAGAGACTTGTAAAGTTGATGATGGAGCTGATAAGAACAGAAGACATTACACATAATGTTATAAAGGGTACATTGAGATGGCATTAAGTTCACAAAATTTGGTTGCCAAGGCATTGCACAATTGTCTCGTGGCCACTTTAATTGTAATACAATTCTACATAAACTAGTATCAATATCAACTTGGGAATCGTTCTCACTATGTTTATTTTTATACTTTCTAATAAGTAAATAAAACCCCCTGAAATTGTCGGATAGATTATGGGTAGTAATATAACACACAAGGACACCATGTTCTTTTCAACCTACGTGGCCTTCTGGTTATCCTAGGGGGGTGTTCCCTGAACGCATACATCTTTAGAACAATAGGTAGAAACATCAAAGGACAATTATAGTTTGTATGGCTTGTTCTCAGTTCCCCCACTTTTTAGAATAACATTGGTGGAAGGATGTTGTTAGAAGAGTTATAGTCTGTTTCTGAGTAGTATTGACCTGTGTTTTTACCCACGGTTAACCCTTCTATCTAAGGTGGTGCTCTATCTAAGCTGGGAGCTGATCATATTAAATTCAATAATACATCATATAAGATTTTCAGATTTCTAATA